TATAGCTGCAGCAACACATTCCTTAACGGCCCGTCCACACAGCGGCGTGCGTTGGCGCTTCACCATTCACTTTGAATGGGGTGACGTCACTTTTCGCCGAAGTGCATCGTGGGAAGCGACGTGGAGCGTTGCTGGCGTGGCTCGCTGCAAAAGTTGAGCAATGTTCAACTTTTGACGCCTCGGCAGAAGCGTCAGCCAATCGATTCATATGCCAGTACAAGCTCTAGCCAATCAAACCGCTGCTTGTGTGTCAGGGGCGGGAGATTCATGTGATTGGTTGTTGGTCGAGTTTCAGACCCGCCCGCCGGCAAGCGTCATCGCACGCCGCTGTGTGGACGGGGCCGTAAGGGAGAAAACAGAGTCAGGGTTGGTGATAAACGTCAACAGGCAAAAAGGTTAAATATCTTAGGAGTAAAGGAAAATTATTCTCTAACATGTACTTTTGGTCGGAAAAAAAACAACATTGTTAAGGTGTGACTTTGGGTAATTGTGACAGCATTTCTTACAGTTTTCTGAATTATTACAAACCACATCTAAATCCATATCATATAGTTAATAGCCTACATCAAAATGAGCTTTTACACTACATGAGCAAAAATAATCTAATGATAAAAGATGTAATAGCTTAACAGTCACAGAGAACCCTTTTCTGCATTCATAATTTCATTTGTAATACTTGAAATACCACTAAAGCTGAGTGGAAAAATCTGTGCAGTCCTGTGCAGCATTACATTCTTGTTATGAACACATTTGTGAGCAGAGCGCTGCAGTTTTAAAGCTAAAGTCTTCTGACAAGAAACCAGTCCTGCTCTTTTATTGAGACGTAGATGATGTTATTTTTCCCCACTCAACCGTGATGGATGGTTGATGTTGCCCTCAGGATCCGCTGTGGCTTTATCCGAGTGCTTCATCTTGCAAAAGAAGCAATGCCCTGCAAGATGGGATGAAAGGTTTGACTTAATTCAAAACAAGAATCACTAGTTTTAGCTTTCTCTGAGCTGCATGTTACAGGGCTGAGGTAAAGATGGTTTGTTGTCTACATTTGTTAATCTCTTGATATTTTGTGCCAGAATGAGTCTATGTGATTGAGCTACACTTTTTCTATGTCCCTTACAGAAATAAAAAAACACTCCGATGTATAGACTGGGCAGTGCTTTGATCAAATATCTTTAGAATTGTTTTCATAAAAAAAAAAAAAGAAGTCCTGTGGCACTGAGATGCTTTACACAGTTTAGTTGGTCATATGTGATATTGAAGACAAAACAGTTACTTTTAAAAGACAAAAATAATTAATAAGTGGTCATTCAGGCATTACATATTAAGGGTTATTATCTTGTTTTGACATGCAGCAATCTTTATTTGGCAAAAATGGAAAATAACCATCATTTAAAGTTCAATATTAAAATGCATCCCAAATGATTTAAATATTTTACTCATATGGATTTATTGTTTTGGTGCTTGAAATTGGTTATCTGTTTGACTGTTTCTATACACCGATTGCATGTATATGTATAGGTGTGTATTCATGGACACATGTATGTGTGTATGTGTATATGTGTATGTTGATATGTATGCATATGTACATGTGTAGATATTTGCTAGTTCAAACAACCCCTGTGTACTTTTTCGTTTTTATTTTTATTTTGACTAATTTTGTTTGCTATTTCATTTGTCACTTTCGGGTCTCTAAAAATATGATTTGAAAAACTGTACTTTTAATATAATAAAGAAAGAATACAAAAATAAAATTAGTTATCTAAGGTCATAGGTTCATGAGAGTAGTGTATTTATATATTAGAAAGGGAAAAATAAATGTAAAATATGTCATTCTGTTTTTTAATTAAAAGTGGTATCTGTACGTCTACTCACACCCTAGAAGAATACAAATGGGACTCATTTATAACTTCGCTCTAGATACATCCAGCTTCTCTGCGTAATACAGATATGGTTTAAATGTCTGAGTTGCAGTGAGTACACATACTCTAATCTAGGAATAAATTGAGTGGGAAAGAGCACCACCTACATGCAGTGACCAACAAATGCATGACAGTTTGTCAGTGCAAAGCAACCACAATAATCCAATTTATAAATGGCAATTTTTTACGAGACACTTTGGCAGATGTAGCTTTACTTTAACATGAATAATGCAAAAATAATATTACATCTTTACAGACATTAAAAGAGCATTTAATCATGAAAAACCTCTACATTCAAGCAGTGCACTTACATGTATTCAATCCCTGTAACTGACCTGCTATATAATGAACGAACATCCGTCCTTGTGTCATTATCCCTGCCATAATCCTTCAGTAATTCAGATTACTGGGATCCTGTTCATGTTAACTCACTTCTGGCATTACCACGATAAGAAACCTTGAGAATAAGACGGCAATTAAAACTAATTATGTGTTTCTTCTGGACCAATGACACAATAGTTGGGAATTTAACAATATATTTACCCTAGACAGTTTTGTGTGTAGTGTACTGTCTGTACTGTTTTTTCTTCCATAAATAGATTAAATTGTAGGATTATTGTCATACAAAAGACACATCTTTTTTTAATATCATTGAAGGTCTTTTTTTTGTATTCAGCAGATCTGACAGGGGAAGGCAGATAGACCTGTATGTTGCCTCACATATTGTTTTAGGGAGAGATATACATAAATAATGTATTTGGAGCCTAAAAGTGTATAGACCTTCTTTGGTAATAAAAAGGGGGTTCATAATAATGATAATATTTGTTTAAAAAAAGGTCTTTAAAGAAATGAATTATGGATAAATGGTGAGAGTAGGTATACTTAAAAATAAATAATAAATCTATAAATAAATAAATATTGCCACTGCAATGCTCATCGTTGTCTGTATAGATTATTAATGATTAAATGTGGATTACTTAAACTGTACTAAAGTATACATTTTAGGTACTTTATGTATTTAAATGTCAAACTACCAAACATATCCATTTATTTGACATTGATCTAGTCCTCACCATCAAGTACCTGGTGCTCCTCTTAATGTAGCTCATTGTGTATCATGTTTTATGTAGATGTGGTTACGGTATCAATTTAATAGCAGATATAGCACAAGACATATTTCAACATTTTGCATGCAAAAAGGTAGGCAAAGCTTTTTCTATGCTATACTAACATTTCACCACTGCCTGCTTTAATGCACCTGGATTGCCTGTTGTTGAATACCAGCTTTATTACAATTTTGAAATACAAATGAACTGGTGTGTGTGTGTGTGTGTGTGTGTGTGTGTGTGTGTGTGTGTGTGTGTGTGTGTGTGTGTGTGTGTGTGTGTGTGTGTGTGTGTGTGTGTGTGTGAACCAGAAATCCAGATCCAATTCTGCAGACATTCCAAACACAGCACAGCAAAAATCAAGATTAAGCACGCCCCGCCATCTTTATAGTTTGGCCTCAATCCTATTGGTCCATTCTTTGATCGACGGTGCTTTTGTCCAATAGGAATCGAGAACGGGGAGTTCGAAGGTAACCTCTGCGCAGATGTTTGTGAAGAGGAAACAACAACGCAGCTTTTAGTGTGAGAGCAGGAATAGCTTTTGCGAGGGAGTCACATACTGCCGAGGCACCACAACTCGAAAGGTGAGCACTTTATTACGATGAATTAAACTGAATGTAATGTGTTTCCCCTACCATTGGATGAGGATTTAATACATTTTAAAAAATATCCCTCGATCTTGCATAGTCATTTGTTCTACTCCAAAACTTGATCGATGGGTTATTTCCTCATGCCAATATGTAGATCTAAATATATCTGCTCTCCTTCTTGTCACTCTTGTTTGCTTGGTCACTACTCTGCAAGCATTTCTCAGTAAATGGGACTTTACTGCTAGAGTATTTGACCACGTCTTGGGAAGGCAAGATACTGCAGTAAAGTGACTGTCCATGTCTGCAATATGGTTAGGCTGTGCACATCTAAGTAGTAGATTTACTGCAGACAGCTGCAACCTTGAGAATAGGGAGCACTGTCCCTCCCATTGTAACCCTGGTAAGTGTGGTTGTAATCATTGGCAGATAAAACGATTTCCTAGACTTTTTTTGGATACTTTCACATCTCGCTGTCATAAATAATGCTTGCCACAGAAGAAGTACATACTTAGCGAATTGCCTGTAAACAAATGGCTTTTGGAATTAGAGGGGGAACCAATATGGAAGTGTTAAGTCTTTACTATCTCTTGTTGTCTTTTTTCTATTTTCTTAATTTCCACAGAGTCATTTTGCCGTGGGAGCTGTACATGGGTATCTGCGGCGGCAAATGCCGAATTGTGGAGTGTGCAAGTGAGAGAAATATTATCCACATGCCTTGCCTTGATCTCACGACAGGGTAAGTTTTAACAGAAAAAGGGGCTGACGCAAGAGCTTGGGGGATCAAATCTCCCAAAATTGTTGTCAAATGTTTTTGACAAAACCCCTCATTAGCATTGAAAGGTATTTACATTTGTTTATTGTAGGTTGGGAGATTGGACAAGTTACCATGCGTTAATTATCATTGGATGACAGAAACAGTTGTTTGTGAATTAAAATCCACTAAAATCCATCAGCAGTCACCAACAAGAAGCCTGAGGAATTGATGTATGTTTTTTTTTAGCATCACTCAATTATTAGGAAAACTTGTAGGAAAAAGAAGAGAGTTTGTGGGAACAGTGGAGGCATGTGCTTCTGCTGGACTGTCTGAAGAGAATAGAAAACTGGCCCGACAGTTTAATCAAGCACTCGAGGGTGTGAGCATCCATTTTTAGCAGCTGGGGCTTAGAACAGATACGACACTCGCGGGCAACA